ATATCCCAACACCCGTTTCCAATGTATAAACCGGGTGCCCATTTAATACACCACCTCCTTTGTTCACTACAGAGAAGCCGGCACATCAAGCCCGTTCAGATTTTCTGTGACTTCAAGAGTGAATGTGATCCCCCAGTGAATCTCACAACAATGACAAGACACGTTCATCCTGACCAGAGAAAGAAAACAGGAGCTTCCCTGGAGCCTAAACTCACAATATTTGTACACCAGATTGTCAAGGTGACTAATCCCTGCCGTCCCTCAGCCAAAACTATGGGTAAAGGAGGAGAAACCACAGGTATGAAAAGAACCCAGTAAGGTCTGGGAGCGTCTGTGATAAGATGGTAAAGCACAAACAGGCCTTTACGTAATGGTGATCCTAATGAATGAATGAGCCATGGCTGGTAGCCCTGTCAGAGGATCAGCTGGTGGCAATTGAAGTTCAAGGTGTCAGCCAACCAGGACACTAATCTCTGATGGGTGACTTTGGGAGGTTCGAAGCCCTTAGACCAGAGACTCCAGGATTATCTTTTCCTTCTGCTGTGCCTTTAATGTTTGCTGCTATCATCTTTCTCTGGTTTCTGACATGGTGCGATTGGGTGTGGGAGATCCCACTGTCTCTGATGTGTTGTGTTTCTCTCACATAAATATCCCCTTCTATTGGCATTTTCCTGTGGATTATTATAAAGATGTTTTCCTTCCTAAGCTGTACTGCCTAATTAAAAACAATAATGTTAGTTTAAATAGAGTTCTGAGGGTATAAGACAAATGAAGGAGTGTCACAAAGCTAGAACACATGAGTTTCTATTGAGGAGCCATGTAGACTGTGCCTTAAGTTTAGGATCAAGAAAAACAATTGAGTCCCAGTAGCCCAGCTAGTTTCAATTCTATTCATCTTAACGTTGGGCGATGTGTCTACAGGTTTCAGAGTGCATCAAAGCCAAAACAAAGCTGTGAAAAATAACCTAATCTTAGACTAAGATGCTTTTATCAAATAACTTTGAGATGAAAATCCCAAGAAGACCTCTTCCTTTCCACTTTGTGTCCACATAAGGACCAGAGTAGAATGATAGTAGAGGGATGGGTGGATTGGAGGGACAGGGCTTCAAGGGATGGAGAAGGTGGATGGATCAAGAGTATAGACAGATGCTGGAGTCTTCACTGCTCTTGGGCTGCGCAGTGTCCCAGAGACAGCGACAGAAACAGGTCAGGTTGGGAATGTCTGAGATTAGTATCAGAATGAGAATTCAATGATGGAGAAGCTGAGTAAAACTCCTCACTCTTGAGGTGGATTGCAGTATCAACCATGGCCATCAGAGATAATGAAAGAGAAGTTTAGAAATATTTATGCAAGCTCTAGTTGACTCACTGGGGATCTGAGCTTATTGTTTGTGACAAGTAATTTCCTTAATCCTCTGACTTCTTCATTTCTGTCACAGGAAGACTCTCTTTGTTTATATGTACATTTTTATTTTAATTGGAAACAATCTTATTTTACGTATCAATCCCAGTTCTCTCTCCCTCCCATCCTCCCATGCCTCCCCATCCCCAATCTCACCCCCATCCACTCCCCAAGAGGGTGAGACCTCCCTTGGAGCATCATCAAAGTCTGTCAGTTCATTTGGGGCAGTGCCTAGACCCTCCCCATGTATCTAGGCTGAGAGTATCCCTCCATGGGGAATGGGCCCCCAAAGTGTATTCTTGCCCTAGGGATAAATACTGGTTCCCCTGCCAGAGACCACATAGACTGTCCAGGCTTCATAACTGACACCCACATTCAGGGGGCCTGGTTTGGTCCCATGCTGGTTCCCCTGCTGTCATACTGGGGTCCATGAGCTCCCACTTGCTCAGGTCAGCTGTTTCTGTGGGTTTCCCCAGCACAGTCTTGACCCCTTTGCTCAAAACTCCTCTCTCTCTGCAACTGGATTCCAGGAGTTCAGCTCAGTGCTCAGCTGTGGGTCTCTGCTTTGGCTTCAGTCAGCTACTGGATGCAGGCTGTAGGATGGCATTTCAGGTAGTCATCATTCTCAAAGGGAGAGGGCATTTAAGGCAGCCTCTCCAGTATTGCTTAGATTCTTAGTTGAGGACATCCTTGTGGATCTCTGGACATTTCACTAGTGACAGTTTTCTCTTTTAGCCTGCAATGGCTCTCTCTATTAAGGGTTCTCTTTTCTTGGTCTCCTCTATCCACCCCCCACTCAGTCTTCCTGGTCACTCACATTCTCCTCACCCCTCCTATTGTCCCCTTCTCGTTCTCCTCCCTCCCCCCTTCACCATGCTCCCAATGTGCTCAGGAACTCTTGTTCCTTCAGGAAGTCTCTTCATTCTCTCGTTATTCCAAGCCATCTCAGTGTGTTTTTGTGTCTGTTCCTTTTTAATCAGCACCACAGCTCCTGATATGACACTACAGATCCTGCATTAACACTCTCAGTACTTAAGCTCAGGGGAGCATATTCTCTTACTGCTATGTAATGTAATTCTTCAGACTATATTTTTGTGTTATCCATGAGAACCTATTGTAAAATGAAAAGCACACCTCCTTAAAAAGTAGAATTTATGAGTCATGTAAACCCCATTCAACATCCAAAACAAGGTGGTAGGGAGGGTTGAAAACAAGACTAAAATTAAATACATACATAATGGAGATAATTTTTGGTGAAGAGTCAGCATTTGTTCGTGTCCCACAACCATTCACCATGGACTCTCAAAGGAAATTAAGAACAGAGGACCTCCAGAGTCACAAAATTTCATGTACCAAAACACCAAAATTACTTTGGGAGCCCATTCCCTAGGGAGGGGTACTATTGCAGCCCACATACAGCAAGGAGGGCCTGGCCCCTCCCCCAAATGATATGATGGACTTTGAAGGTCCCCTGTGGAGGGTCTCACTATCCCTGGGGAGGAGTTAGGGGTGGGTTGGGGGGACTGGTGGGGAACATGGGAGGATGGGTGGGTAAGGGAATGGGGGGATGGATTTGTAAATATGAGTATAATTAAAGAATTAAAAAACACCAAAACTAGCATCCAATGGAATGGCAAGAGAGCAGAAATTTTGCATTAAATCCTGAAGAAGGAAACAGTCACTCCTCTCTCCACACACCTTTAGCTTTGTGCTTGAGCACGTAGCCAATGCATAAACAGAAGAAAGTAAAGAGCATTTCCAGGACAGGAAAAACAGTGAGTAGAATGAAATGAATAGTATATCATTTTTTTAGCATATATTTAAGTCATTTATTGCCATTTAGTTCCAGATCTGAATCTACACACTATGGAAAACACTTGTTACCACTGGAAAGTATGTTCAGACATGTGGCCAGCTGAGGAATATACTACAGCCATTAAAGAAAAAGTCAAGAAATCGAGTAAGTGTTTACAGTTATAAAACTTTGTTCCTTAGGTTTTCATTACACAAATCCCAATAGATAATATACACATTACTACAGATAAAACCATCATTCAAAATTCTTAAATTAGTGGCATATTTTGAACTACTCTTGATGAAGACAAATAAATTTTAGCATTGATAAGGCAGAAGAGAGTTGGTTCGGGGACTCTCGGCTTTTCTATAAGGTTGGCATGGTAATTAAGGATAGCATTCTGTGTTTCCCCTGCAGCAAGACCATTCATGCTGACGCGATCTGTGGCTTGGCAGTAGTGGGTGTGGCACTGTCCCTTTCAAGAGCTGGTCCTCGATTTGCTCTGCAGACGCCTTCTTACTCATCTCATAGTTGATCACAGCCGTCCTCGCTGAATGAGCTGGGCGACTTCGTTTGTGACACAGCATGCAAACAGAAGCCAGTTACCTTGTAGGCAAATCTCATGAATGTCAAGGAAGAGCAACGGAGGGCGAAGGTCATCGGCCCACTAATAATCTCTGGAGACGTCTTCATGTCATTGGCGGCAGCAATGGGGAGACCCCAGCTGGCAACGGGGTCCCAGAAGTTCGTGCTCATGAGATAGCCCCGGAAGTCCTTGCTGTGGACATAGTCAGCCTCTTTGAGCACCAGCGCCACAGCCATGGCCCTGCGTGCAGTCCGCGGTGCAGCCGCTCTGCAGGGAAAGCTGCTCTGTAGACAGATGACACCACTGTCGAGCCTATATCATTGTGTTAAGATAATATGATTGTCTATGCAGAAATTTTGAATCATTGTATGATAAGTCATCCCAGCACGGTGATTCTGGGATTACTGATCAGCATGCTAACTTCTTTTCCACGTATGACTATTAGACAGTGGAGAATGAAATGAAATAAAAAACACATCAATTTCATGCAACACCCCCACCTCACCCCTGTGATGTTGCATTGCTGTTATGAAGGTGTGTTTGTTGGGGTTATATAGAGTGGTCAGAAAGTGCCACCCACAGAAGGACTTTGTGTTGAGAAAAATATCTTGAAGTTGTGTCCACCCTCCCTGGACAGATTGTCCGTATTCCACCATGTGGTCACATTGGCTTTATATTCCAAGAGAAACTCCAGGAGTAATACCTGTTGTAGACTGAAAGACTGGAGGTACATAGAAAGTGTTTGGGGGCATCATAGACAGATGGACTTAACTCTGGGCTCTGACTTTAGTTACCATTTTATTTTTTATTGATGCAACTTTTTTGTTTCTAGACCAACAGACAGAAATTCCTCCTATATAGAATGTTGCAATTTATAAAGATGGAAAATGACACATGAGATGGAGGGAAAGGAAAATGTACAGAAATTGGGGCCCAGGACAGACAGATGGGATTGCATATTTACTCCCTTTGTAGAACCAGAAAAGAGTTGGTTTATACGCAATGGGCACAGTAGGTGGAAGGATACAAATTAATTTTCTGATGAAGGATCTCATTGAAACCCTCATTCCTCCCTCTGCACCCATCACAATTGCTCCCTGGACATTCTCTCATGCCAGCTCCTCAATGTAAGAACTGGAAACCTTACAGAAAGTTGGGTCATCAGATTTATTTCCCAGACTCAGGAACCTTGAGAGATGCACTTATTTCTCTTCTGATTATGTTTCAGCTGCATGGTCGGTCTGGCTCTGGCTGCCCCAAGCCTCAAAGACCAGAATCCCAAGGACTATGAGGACCAGGACAGCAATCCCCATCCTGATGAGATTCTCCACTGTGTAATCCTTGTTCTCTGAGGCTGTGGTTGTGGACAAAGAAGTACAGTGGTTTGGGTTGGCCAAATATTCCTTAAGAAATCTAAATGTCCCCAGGATAACTAAATGTCCCCCAGGGCCTCTGCCTTCCCTGGAGTGGATTCTCTGTTTCCAGTCCTGACTTTGATGTCCCTTTATTCAGCTGTCTTGGGTTTTCACATGTTCTAGATTGATGATAATCTCAAGTGATCCTGAGGACAGAAGAGGATTGTGCACGCTTAAGACATCTGAGTGTTTCTTTTTCATTCCTCTTTCCCATTTACGGTAAACACATGTTGTTTTTTTCCTGTAAGCTCGTGAAAACTGGGATGAATCTTTGTGATGGCATAGCTAGGTTCCATCACTTACTCTTTTTCTTAAAATAATTATATAAATAATACCATCCACGGTTTCTCCTCCCAGCCACTCCTCTCAACTCCACTTTGTTCCTACTCCTGACTTTACTCCTTCTCTGTGTCTGTTTAGGAAAGGGCAGGTCTCCCATCAGTATCAACAAACTATGGTATAAAGTTGCAGGAAGACTGAGTACCTCCCCATGTATTAAGGCTGGGCAAGGAGACACAGAAGATTCTGATCCCAAAAGCCAGTAACAGGGCCAGAGTCAACCCTGTTCCTTCCAGGAGTTCTTTTTAGATTCCTCAGCACCACTGTGAGGACACTGCTATAACCAGTATATTCCGAGTAGAATAACTTGACAATATAGGGCATTGAGCAGCCCCAGAAACTTATGAGTTTGGTGTCTCTGGTCAGCTCTGCAGAGGTTGTGCTGATTCAGGTGCTCAGTCTAGGATGATTTCCTCAATGGAATTTGGCTGAGTGTGTGTTCCCTTGTCACACCTAGACCTCCCATCTCTTCTTTGAACTGAGCATTCCCCTGAACTGTTCTGAATACCTGTGGACCACCTAGGGGTGGCTGAGGAGAAACTACCTTATAGTATCTCTGAAATGAGAAATGGTTTCTGCTAAGATTGAGAACATCTGTCTTGTTGCAAATCTTTCCCTG